TAAATTTTTATTTATCTAGGTATCTCTTAACATTTGGGCTCAGAATCTCCAAGAAATTTCAGGGAACAAAATGAAAAAACCTCTCTTGAAACTGAGTATGAGATGTTTGCAAATGTGTGTATCTATTGTGCATATTTATGATTCCTCAAGCACAAGGGCTTACAGGCAAATTGATGCTCTTGACTTGGACAGTGCTTATTGCCTCCTTCCTGTATATCAGGTGTTGTGTTAATTCTGGGGATCCAATGCATAAAATAGACACAGTTCCTGCTGCTCATAGTGTATACCAGATGTGCAGACAGATAATTTCTATTTGGTGTGCTAGATAACAGAATGAAGTAATTCTAGGGAGCTTGGAAAGGTGGGACAAAGTCACCTCCTCCAGTCTTGGCTATCAGGAAATAGTGGATTATGACATAAAGAACTACCACAGAAAGAGCTGAAAGAACACTGAAGGGCAACTTCAAAGGCATCTTCTCTTCACTCCAGGCTCCGGCATATACTATGGCCCCTGCCTGGAGACCTGTACCAGGCATTTCAGGTAGTGTAGGAAGGATTATTTCAAGGTGCCTGTTTTTCTTATATGTTTTCTCTGGGAACTACCCAGCCTTATCATCTCATGCCATAGTTGTACTGTGTTATTGCCATCCTTTCCTTTTCTTTTCCTCTTTCCTTTTATTATTTTCTCCATCTCTCCCTTCCCTACCCCTGTATACTTGATTGCAACCAGGGTGGACAACTGTTGCACATACCACCAGCTGGTCATTAACCAACCAGACTGTGTCTCTCTACAGATCTCTCTAGAGAAGACAAAGTAAAAGGTACAGCAATTGCTTTGAAGCACTGTCTGTTGAATGAATAAAGAATTACTACTCTCTTGGATCTCAAGTTAGAGTATATTTTTTGAGTTCTCACAACGAACAATGCTCTTACCTTTATCATTATAAGTTTTCTTCATCAGGTATATTAAAATTATGTCTTAAAATAATGCTATGTATAATCAAATATTCAGTATGATAGGCAGGAAATATGCATTAGTTCCTTCAACCAAATCATACACTATCAATATAAGCAGTGATGCATTTAAAAGCAGACATTTTTATTCAAATTTAGTATTATCAATTGTGTGTGAGGTAATCTAAAGTTAAAATAACTATAGTTTAATTGTGGACTATACTATATGCATTTTAATTTTGAACTGAAATATATGCTTTTTAAATGGAATGTAATATATAGTTTTAAATTTGGCTGTAATAGATGCATTTGAAATGGACTATCATATATTTTTTAACATGAAAAGAGGAAGGAATGACCCTTAATTGTGATATTTATGTTTTTTTGTTTTGTTTTCTTTTGGTACTGGGGATTGAACTCTGGTCCTTGCGCTTGCGAGGCAGGCAGTGGAACCACTGAGTTAAATTCCCAGCCCTAATTGTGATATTTATGGTGAAACTGTTAGAGTTTAGAAAAACCTGTTGTTCAGCAGTGCTGTGGCAAAATGTAACAATCAGCTACAGTCAAAATCTGCTGCCTCACAAACTACTACAAAACTCAGTGGCTTAAAACAAAAACTTATTCTCATAGATCCGAGGTTGGCTAAATATGTTCTGATCTGGGCTGTGCTGGACTGGAGTGGCTCTGTTCCATGTCTCTGACCCTTCTCCTAGGACTGGCAAGCTTGCTGAGGGTGGTTCTTCCACGGTAATGACAGAGAAAAAGAGAGCAGGTAGGTGCAAATCTCTGAAGGCCAAGGTTCAGACCTAGCAAACTGTTGCTTCTGTTATAAGTGATAAGGCCATTCTCAGAGGCGAGAGTAGGGGGAGCAGGCCACCACACTGGAGGGGCACTGCAAGGCTTTATAGAAAAGACCTTCAGTACAAGGAGGGGTGAAAAAGAAGGGACAATCATATCATACACAAACTGCCTACACATTCACCTGACTGTTTCCTCTTCTTCCTGAAGTTCACAGCAGACCAGATTTCCTTGCCACTCTGATGCAGTAATGTCTGGATATCTGGCCAAGTCCCTGCCAAGGGAATGTGGGCAGAAATGAGTTGGCCCATAAAAATTTCTGATGGGAACTCTGCGTCATTTTTCTCTTTTCTTTGGCTTGATGAGACAAGTTTATAAAACTTGAAAGTCATGTATTGACAGGAGTCTTTGCCTGTCAAACTTCTGTCAGGCTTCTGAACCTTTTCCTAGGCCTATTTGTATACTTTCCCATAAAATCTAGGTTTAGTAAAGAACTCTACTAATACACTTTTGAAAAAAAGAAAGAAGAAAGAAAAAAACCCATCCTCCATATCTGATCATGTTCCTCATTACCATCACTCAAGTAATGTCTGATCACCCAGACCTGCCTTTGACAAAAATCCTATTAGGTTAGTTTGCCTAGAATCCCATTGGTTCTGATATTTCCTCTTCGTAAATTTCTACTCACTGACTCTACTTCAACTCCCACTGCTCCCACTTACCCATAAATTCTCACTTGCCCATGCTGTATTTGGAACTGAATCCAATCTTTTTCCCCAAAACCAGACTTCATTGCAAATAGTCCTTATACTCATTGCCATGGTTCTGAATAAAGTTTGCCTTATTGTTTTTATCAAGATCACTCAATAATTTTTTATTTATCAGTATTGTCTATAGTCAGAAGTACAAGATAAGGAGGTTGTATCTAATCAGTAACTCCTAGTTGGACTTTGAGAGAGAAATCAGCTTTCATTGTATTGGTGCCATTACTCAATCTGAGGTTTGTTTGTTATAGCAACTAGACTTATCATCAATGAACCACATATGTGCAGTGCCTCTAGAATTCCCTAAGGCACTCTGAGACCGATTTGTCTAACACTTTTTCAGGTCCACTGTAATTCCTGCCTGATGGACAACTTTGGCATATTTGTTTGCATCAGGGAAGAGAAGCTTGATTAGCCTGAGATTGGAGTGATGTTCTTCCTGGGCACCAGAGCAGAATATAACATTTTAGAGCCACAGTAATATTTTAGAGAGTTTGAACACTGAAAATCAGTTGCTGCAAACAGAGGATTGTCTTTCAGCATCAGTCAGGCTTTTTGTGGCCTCCTTGGTTCCCCTGAATCCCTTTAGTAAGTACAGAGGAAGAAAGATATTGGGTGCGTGGTTTTCATCTGGCTATGTGAGCTGATTCTTGCTGGACTGCACTTTTAGCTGAAGCCCACCTCACCCTGCAGGACACTTCAGGTATGTTCTTACTATAGAATTTAGAATGTTTTATTATAGACCTTAATTTTGGTCATACAATCCATTTTGAGTTTTAAAACATTGCCATTTGGGCATATCAATTTCAATGGTCCATAAAAATGCTTTTTACGTTTTAAATTTTGCCCAAAAAGCAGCATTCTGAATTTATAAAAGATTGTCTACGGCCATACCACCCTGAACGAGCCCAATCTCATCTGAATTTATAAGAGATAATAACATCCAATACTATCCATCAAGTAAAATTTCCTCCCAGCTTCTGTCAGAAAGGCTAATTGTCTTTAAGTTACTCTTTAGACTCTTTTTTTTTTCCTGTTTAGTAACAAATAGGATGTATTCATTATATCAACAAACCTGGGGGAAACATTTAAAAAAATCTCATTTTATGAGCTATAGGAAATTTCTGATTACCTAGTTTATTGGGTATTTACCAATGTCTCCTTGGACTTTGTGATGTACACAAGAAAAGGAAAATAAAATTGGGAATGAAAATAGCTTTATCTTGGGCAGGGTAGCAATTAGAAGTTTTATTTACAGATCACATTAATTATTACTATAATTCCATTTCTGGGCCTCTAGATGGAATTCCCCAGTCTTACTGGACTGTTCTTTACAATTAATAACATCTAACATTTATTGAGCATTTACTGTGTCTCAGGTGTTTGACATGCACTTATTTAATTCTTGGAAAAATCCTATGAGGCAGATACTATGATCCCCATTTTACAAATGAGGAAACGCAGGCACACCCGATAAGAGACTGAGCTGTGGTTGCACCCCAGACAGTCTGACTCCAGAGGCTCAGCCCTTCTCTTTGTGCAATGAACTTTGTGCTTCGTACAATGAACTAGTCACATAATTCTCAAGACCGATTTATCTTTTGATGCACTAGGAAGACTACTGTTGTCAATAATCTTTAATAGCTTTGTTTTGGCTGATATCATTGTGTCAGCTAGATGAGGATGTGTAGGGAACAGGGAAAGGGGATGTTACTAAAACCTCTGCAGTGAGTCCTAGTCTCCTGTGAGCCATGGCAGCACAAGGTGAATTAATTTATTATACAACAAAGGTAGAAAAATGAGACTTTGAGAAGAAGCTGAGCTTTGGGTCTGATCAGTGCTGCTCTGGGTGGCAAAGACAAAAGCACCCGAGCTTGCCACACCTTTTATTCAGTACATCCGGAGAAATAAATGACTTGCAGAGTTCAGTACATCGGGATAAACAAGGTGTAACAATCCAA